AGAGAGAGAGAGAGAATTATATTTTATGAATCAATTCTGTAAACAACCTGATGTGCTTTGATTGTTGGCTAAAATTTAAGTTTTTAACAATACTTTCAATGGATTCGATGCTTAATGGATGCACTGCAAAACTCCAGTGCATTGATGCTTTTCGCTTCTTTGAGTTTTCAATGAGTTAGGTCAAAGTGATGCTCAGGCTTCATATTATGAGGAATTTTGTGTTTTGTATGAATTTGTTAGTTTAAAACCCTGAGTATTATTACAAATGTTGGTTTGATTTATTTTTAGGTTCTATTATTTTTTCTTCTTGTGTGTGTGTGTGTGTGTGTGTGTGCTGTGAAAAATCATGGGATAGACTTTACACTCATGGTTAATGTATGTAATCCATTTTATTTGGTAGAAATATAAGTAATAGGGTTGTTTTCTATGTGTAATGACAGACAACCCTGGACAAAGCATTTGTCCAATTTTTTGAGATTTAGATTTGATGTTTCAACAAGTATGAGACTGAAATTTTTTGAGTCAAGCATGTCAGGAGTTGGTTTTTTGACAAATGCATTGATTTGATTTATGTCATGCTTGTTTCCATTATTTTGCAATTTCTATGCATTTTATTTTTCAATGACCTTTCTTTTCCATGTTGGAGGTGACAAACTGTATTTGGTATAGCAATCACAAAAACAAAATTGATTGCAAATCCTCCCCATTTTGGAGTTCTCTTTGTTGATATTTAGTGGGTGTACATTCTTCTAGGGCATTCATGGAACAAAATTCAGGTAGTCGACCCCAAGTAGTTGGGATAAGGGTCGGATAACTTTCTTCCAGGGCATTAATGGATGCCCTGTTAATTACATCCAAAAAGGGATCGCCTTGATTTTTTATGCCAAGGGCCATTACAAAGAGAGAGAGAGAGAAAAAAGATAATACAAAGGAGAAAGTAGCAGTTTGCTCTCTAACATATGACCAAAGATACTTACCATGTATCTTATGGATTTTGAAGTGCAGAAGAAATATGTGAAAAAGTTTTTATATGTGATGCAATGCAACAGAAAGGAAGCATGTTGTGTTGCAACCCAAGTGAAATCAGTTACTTATTCTAGGCTCTTGATAATCTAATTGTTTATGCAGGTCCCTCTTTTGGATATCAACTTAGCCTTCCATAATGACAGGTACACCTTTAGGGTTGCATTATCAGTAGGTCTCTACGCTGTGCATAATTAGGGTTTCCTGATTTTTAGTTATCATTGTGTGCTTCTGGACATATGACTTAAGTTTGGACAAGTTGGCCAGATATGAGGCAATCAATTGCAATGTATTGAAAGTTTTTGTTAAGTGTTTCAGGTCTTCTCACAATTTTTAAAGTAACTAACATATAGGTTTCTAAAGCTATTAGAATAATTTAGACCTTTGGATAATATTTAAAAATAGAAGTTTATGAAAAATTGTTCACTTGATATTTGTCTTGCTCTAGCGTTTCAGGTCTTCATCTTTTTGCCATGGGATTGATCTCAAGGAGAGTATGGAATGATAGAGCAAATTGAGGTAGGTTAATTGAATTAATTTAGTTTTTAGAATGCTTAGTGTGAGTCTTAATTTTTTCTGCATCATAGTTGGGTGCATTTTTTTTTGTTTTATTTTTTTGTAATTTCTTACAACAGTTTTAGTTTAAATATTCAATCGTACTTTTTCCATACATAAATTGTATGTGAGGACGCCTCGAATGTTTATCTGATACATCATGCAAGTGTGCATTTTGATGATGTGGACAGTGTAAGTTTTATTCTCAAGTGGTATATGGCTTACCATTGAAAAAAATAAAATGGTACGTGGTTTGGTGCTCTTAACTTAGTTTTATTCTCAAGTGGTATATGGTTTACCATTCAAAAAAATAAGATGGTACGTGGTTTGGTGCTCTTAACTTTTCCCAGTAAATACACAATAAATTGAGAACCAGATTACTTCTCCAAATGATTGTTTAGATCCCTTAAAAGGGATCACATCTTCACTTTTTCCCTTCAGACTATCTTAAAACAGAGTTACATGCCCAATGTAGTGCTGAAATTATCAAGATCTCATTCTTTACGGCTTTGTTGAAATCTAAGAATTGGTTGGCCATCATCAAAATGGGTTGACAGTTGCACTCCATTGTATTCAAACATACCCTATTTATATTATAAACCTACCGTTGTTTATCCAGATTAAATCTGAAAATGGACTGTGCTCTGTCAAGCGTCTAATAATTCTATTGAGAACTTTTATCTATTTCAAACATCTCCCTTGAGGATCAAAACACTTCTAGATTGAGGGATGCAAGTGTTTTTGGTTGCATCTTAAGGAGACACTAGTATCTTGTAATGATCTTTTTATAGATTTCTTTGTTTTTTCTACAGTTGATTTGGTTATTTTTATTTATGTTATTATTTTTTGTGGGATATAGTTTCTTAATTTTTGTTGCAGCTGAAATATACACTGCACAGTGGTACAAACAGATTCCAGATGCAAATATTAATGATGGTTGGGTGATAATACCTTTCTTCAGGAAATGGGCATGTGGAAATTGGGTGAGTTGTATGGGATTGTATACAATGAGACCATTTACCTTTGATGCTAGGTGGTCACAATTACTTACAACCATCCGATGTGAATAATTGCCTTTGATGCTAGCTTGGTCAATGGAATAATTGCAGCCAGCCAATTTCACATCCCATGGTCAAGATTAATGTCTCACTTTGTACCAAAGGTAAATGGTCTTATTCTATACTTTCCCAAGTGTTATTTTCTTGCTTAGGTGAAATGCGGATTTGACTCGTGTATTCCCTGTAAATATTTGGAAAGTGCTAACTGTATTAGCTCTGAAATAGATTCATTGGACGCTTTCATATATTTTAAAGACTTCATTCAACATCTATTTGAAGAGGAATTAGCATCCTACATTTCATTTCTAAAGTTGTTTCTTTTAGTTATCTGCACCATATACGGTGTTTGTGATCATACTTGTTTTGCAGGAGACAAAGATCTCGAATGTTGTTTAAAGATATTCGTATTTGGGAATTTTGGTTGAATCTTTATGCATGGATTTCTTAGCTAGTGGTGTACTCCAATCTTCTCATAATGGTCATAGTCATCGTCATTGTTGTGATCATGTAGTTGCATAGCCTACTTATCTTCTTTCTATAACTATAGAGCTCTTTTATTCAAAGTAAATACTAAACAAAAAATAGAAAAACTTTACTTGTTTAGAATGAACTACAAACTTTGGGAAAGCCTTCCAAACTATACATGCAAGGTTTTGTCAAGCTCCTCCAAGATACAACTCTAAGAAAATTGAGGGGAAATAGCAAATTCGTTTCTTTTGAAATTGGGGTTCATTGGCCCACACTTGACCTAGACAACCATCTCTCTCCTCTCTCTCAATATATATGTGTATGCATACATACATATAAACATATATATACATACATATATACATACGAAAAAAAATTATATAAGGTTGAAGCCTTAAAATTGTAGAATTAAGGTGCACCTCAAAAATTCATCTAAAAAGGAAGTTTTGATGTTGGAAAACCATGTAATTGATCATCCCGACGTCAAGATGTATACATATGGGAAAAAAAAGGATTTTAAGTTCCAAAAATAGTAGATCTTGTAATGCATAATTTGGACCGCCTATTTTCAAGATTTTCATGAGTTTATCAATCTACTTGATTTGAACTACTTTTAGAGTTCGAAATTTTATAATTATAGATTTGTAGGTCATCTTAACTTTTTTGACACCAAAATTAAGTATGATGATAAAGTTTGGAGGTGCACCTTACTTTGATTGTCTAAGGTTGCAACCTTATGCAAACCACACATTATACATATATCAATATATATATCTATATATGAGTAGAGCTACCAATAGGTTGTAGTAATCTAAAATAAGTAGCAGTTTAGGTTATGCTTCCAGCCGTCAGATCTTGATTGGATGGTTGAAAATGCATGTTACTATTTGAATTTAAATCTTTTTTCTACGAATCGGATCAAAATGAAAATTTTGATATACTCTTTAAGAAAAAGACTTAACCTTTTATGAATATCTAATAGCCTCCTTTCCTTCATGCAAGCGACCTATGTGTACACCATGGGACACATTAGACCATATTCCATACCCAGACCCTAGTGCAGCCTTAGAAGATTCCCTATATATTCTTGAGATATTCCATCATCCTGAGATATCCAAATATCCTAAATTTCCCATTTTAGGAAATTGCAACCTGAAAATAAGCAAGAACTGTGCCAGAAAGAAAAAAAAAATCGCGAATTGCAGCCCCAAGGAAGTGTTCGATTTCGGTTAGACCACCACGATCAGACTTTGCACAGTCTCCAGTAGTGACCAAAACTGTCTGGGGTTTAATGCCAGGGGTGCGTCCCTGAGTTCATTTGGCTCAGTGCCACTCCTTGTGCTACCAAAATTTTGACGGCCTAGATTTAATCTGGATTGCTACCTTTCTTTTTTGACAAGTTTTTATCTAAAAAAGAACACATCTAGTTATTTTTAGGGGACCTTAGTGACGAAACCCTAACCCGAGCCTCTAATTCTGAAGATCCAACCCTAGACTTAGGTCATTCAAACCCTAGATCTAGGAAACTGTTCCAGCCAATGTCAAACAAATTCATTCAAATCAAAAGCCTCAGAAGTAAATTCCTAGGCACCAATCTACCTCGGAGTGCAATCTGACAAGACAGATATGCAATCTCGAAGATCAAGGAGCAAGACTCATCATCATTGTCTGATCTAGGCCCAACTTCAGTTGCCGGGCCTGAGGGCCCGACCTCGAGGTAAATGTTTTTGTGCTCTCTTCTTTTTATTATTTTCCTTCTTTTTATCATTATTAACTTTTATCTTACCTCTATTTTCTTTGTTATGCTTGTTTCTTCTTATTTTAGTGTCGTATTTCAGATTTACTTAAACCTGAGCCAACTCGGCTGGTGAGAAGAAAGGTCTTTCAAGGCTGATCTACTCATAAATTGTAAATAGGTGGAACCCACCTCTTCTGATATTTTAAAACTTTAAGGTTGGAGACCATCTTAGATAGATCGGACTTTTAAGTAGTACGCTTAATCTCAGAATCGTGTGAACAATTGTTCCTAAAATGCATATTCAAATTATTTTTGGAGGGTAGATTAGTGATTTTTTTGTTAGGTGTAAGCAGGTGCCATGGTTAGACATTTACCAGAGTAACCAGATGTTGTTGTCTTGAATGCTAATTTTAAAATTTCTTGTAGCATTTGTGATTAATATTCATTTTTTGTTTAACAAGAATGGTTGGTGATTTTCATTACTGGATGCCTGATTTGAGTTTTCTTATCACTGTGTTTAGCTTTATCACCCCTGTTCTTCCCAATGGTGTGAACTTGATCTAAGATGCCCCATGCAAGCTGATGATGATGATGATGATGATGATGATGATGATGATGATGATATATATATATATATATATATATATATATATAGATATATATTTATTTATTTATTTATTT